CGTACTAGCAACATCGATACACCTCTGACATGTCAGCACTCGGTTTTGTAAGCGCTGCCCGCGCTGAGGTACAATCTGACGTCGTTGCTGAGTTGATGGCGAACAACTACAGCTGGGAGAAGTTCGCCAGGAATGTGTGCGGCAATTTCGAAGACGACGACATGCAGCTTGTCCTCATGAACCTAGGCCGTCTGGTGGATCTCAGCGAGCAGAATTTCTACCCGAGCTTGATGGAAGTGCCCGGCATCGTCAACGATGCTCTTTCGAAGACACGACCAGGATCCCAAGCGCAGTTGCCAGGCGGCACGACCCGCAACATTCCAAAGGTGACGTCTGATGCCATTTCCCTGCAGGCGTCCTTAGCCGAACTTGGACGTGTTCTTGCCTACCCCGACTTCGTGGACCCAGTGTATGAAGCCCTGAAGCTGAGCAACGAAGCGAGCCTCGTGTCCATCCAGCACTCAGTTGCAGCCTGGGCACGTCTGCGCAATGACGTCGAGGGAAGTGGGGTACTTTCGTGTGATGACGGGACCCGGAAGTTCCGCAAGCTCGATTCCCTCCTTCAAGAAGAGGTCCTGTGTACGTGCTATGCATTCCTCGGCAAGGACGGTGTTGCGGACTTTGGGATGGTTGATCAGCTCATTCGTGAGCAATGCGAGTCGAAGAAAAACATGCCGCCGCTGAGCATTGAGGCCTTGCTCACGAAGCTGCACACGACACATTCGCACTTGCAGAAGGCAGTCCTCACAGAGTTGACATGCTCAGAAAATGTTTGGAAACGTACCCTGACGAGGATTGCCCAGCTTCTGCGCAAACCGAATAGTTGATTTGTTCCGGAACACAGCCTCAGCCTCCAAGATGTTTGAAAGGGCTGAATAGTTTTTGCGCGGCATTCGTTTCGCTGAAGCACTGGGCCACGCGCACCAGTCGCTGTACTCTAAAAGCGCAGATGAATCTGCAAGTCAGTTGCGCACTGTCTTGCGGGCCATGCGCGCACCACGAGGCACGGAGTCACAAAGTTCGTTTGCAGCCTCCATCTTCTATGGCTAGCCGCTAGATGCTCATGCTCTGCTGGTGTGACGGCTGCAGCTTTCGTTCATGTGTTGCCTGCTTGCACATGGTCAGAACCCCATATACCCACTTTGTTACCTTTGCGAACCCTTAACTTCCTTCCTGCCAGGCTGCAGAAGGTCCACCGCCGCCGAAGGCAACCCGGGCAAAGACAGCAGCTTCTTAAGCTCCATCACGCGAAGGTCATGCTACGGGTTTCCATGCGAGTGCTAGATGATGGGGTTTTGCATGGGGCTGTAGGGGTTTTCGGTGTTGGTTCCTGTGCGTGTGTTGTACGACTTTCGGTGTTGTACGAGATCTATCGGGCTTTCTGCAGGGTTTTTTAGGCCTTGGCGTTGGACGGGCAAAATCCTGCATCACCGGTAAGTTCCCTAAAGTGGCTGAATCAGGGGACATTACTTACTGTGGATAAGGCAGGATTCTGTGCATCAGCAGCAAGAAAGTGATTTTTATTATGCATGTACATCAGAAGGTTCCAGACAGAACTTGACTGACTGATCCACATGCATCGGTTCTATACTTTGCAGGCTAGGCTGTTTTAGACGAACATGAGACTCAAGTTTAGTGCTCTTTGTCTTCAGCCAGAATGTCATAGACGACTTCGGAATTGGATGTTGTGCAGATGCTGTCAAGCCGTGTAACAAGTCCCCCCGGTCCGGTGCCCAAGCGACAGCATCTTGAGTATTTAAAACTGTTTTGTCGGGCTTATGGCTTGGAGATGAACATTCGCATATTCTGCCCCGGTGGTGTACCGGGTCTTGAGCACTAAGCAATTCAAAATCGTCCCAATCGCAGCTCCAACTTGTGGTATTGTTGACCGTGTTTGCGGCTTGTGTTGCTTCATAGTCATAGTTGCCTGCATACGGTCAAGAATCTTGTCAAGAACGGACATCGGCAGGATCAACTCTGCAAACCAGAAAGTCGTCATTTCCTCAGCGTCCACCAGACGCGAAGTCCGAAACGATACAACGTCGCAGGCGCCCACCTTCAAGAAGGGCGACTATGTGGAGTACCACTCCGCCACACACAGCGCAGGGTGCCCACCGGGAGCTCAATGAACGCATAGAGAGTGCCTTGAATCCTGCGCACCTATCAACGCAAAACCTGGGCTCTTTGCAGGAATCATTATTCATTCAGATTCTTGTTACAACACAAACTACAGGGGTCACGAGCAATGGCAGGATCATGGGTCTAAGCGTCGTATAGAAAGCCTAAGTTGCCAGGATCTGTGATGTTTTGCGAGGCCCTAGCATTTCACAGCCAACGGCTGTTTGGACCGTTCTGTTCAAAAAGTCACAGAAACAGGCACAGCTATATCATGCCATGTTAGATTTTTCAGCCATGTTATCTTTTGAAACGGCAAATAGCCGTTGCTTGTTTAATTGTGAATGATACATAAGTACCTACATATGTACGCATGTACATACCTACGTAGAGACTCAGAGAGATAGATATAGATAGATGGATAGATACGTAGATAGATAGTGAGAGAGAGAAAGACTGCAGTTGTGTCTCTTTGTTCTTCTATGTACCTGATGTCATGCTGTGTCCCCTCGGGAAGATTCGGTGCGTGCCCTCTTCGGCAAGGTAGCCTCGTGAGCTGTCGACCCAGGACTGGCTACCTGCGAAGGTGATCAAGGAAGAGCCGGGCGGAAAGGTTGTCATAGCCATTTCCTGAGGCTGCAACAGCAAGCTCGGTGTTGGCGGCTTCAGGGTGTCATTGCGGTCTCCATGACTCCATGACGCCTTGCAATTGGTTCAAGGCTCACGGTAAACGAGCCTTCATGAAGAAACTCCGCCTCCGAAACCTTCGCTCCGATGCCAAGGACCTGAAGCCGAACACGTGGATGAGCCCAGAGGAGCTGCGGCAGTTGGAGTTGGAGAGACTTTTGGGGTTTGGAACTTGGGGACTAGAGACGAGAGGTCCCTGCTGTGAGGATTGAACCTCGGTGTGTTGGGGGCACCTACAGAGACCCGAAAGCAAAGCAACAGTGCAACGCTGAACTTCGAAGACCCTTTTTCGACAGACCACAGAGACATATGCTTCCTGTTACCTTCCGCACAGCAGACAGCGGACGTGTCCATCTTAGATGCCCGGGTTGTCCAGTGTCGGCTGTGCGGAACAATGCAGCAGAAGCGAGATCTTGGATGTGGGTCGGAATAGAAGTTTATCAGTGCATGCAGGACATGACTCATGACTTCAGCGCGATGATTTCCCGACAAGCTCTCAACCTAGTTCGCACGTGACGCAGGGTGGCAGATCCCGACTGGCCAGGAGCAACTGCAGAAGCTGCGGCATCGCAAAGAGCCACCCAAGCTCATCGATCGCTCGCTTGGGACCAAGCTCTCACACGGGGCATGTCTCGTTGCCGCTGCGGGCAGTGTGCATTCAGCAGGGGGGAGCCAGGCATCCTGTACAATGCAAGCAAATATCAACTATTCTGAAGTTGTGAAGCAGGACATTCGCAGATCGTTCAAACGTCGTTTTCGTAAACCACCCAGTGCGCCCCGCAAGTACTCAATTTCACTTGTGCGCGTGCCCGGTTTCCGGCCCCTCAGAAACATGGGGGAAAAGAGGCATAAAAAAGGTAAGCGACAACATGGAACACATTGACAGCATAAGCATATCCCATTGCAACAGTTCCGTTCCTCGGAACCAGCTTAAACACCAGGGACCCCAGGCCGAAGCTGGCCTCGTTCGCCTAGGTCTGCCTATCCGCGTAGCGAGAGCCTCAGCGTGGAAGTCCTCACCTTTTCTGGGAGCTCCGGTCCTCCCACGAGCGTATGCAGATCTGAAGCCCTCAGCCCCAACTGCCCCGAGGTGGAAGCACACCTGCCATTGCCGGACCCTCCCGCGCTGATGGGGCAGGCCACTGTCGGGTCAAAGCTCCAACGCATCTGCTTCAGGTTTCGGATGCCGGAAATACTACTAGGAGCAGGGCCCATATCACAGCAAGCAGCCCCTGTCTCATGGGACCCCGAGTTTGTTTAGCTTCCATTTGTGCTCTGACAGGTCAGGCATTTGTGTAAGTTACTTGCCGATCCCATGTAAAGCTGATGCTTGAACTTTTGGACAGTGGTGGGAAAGCTAGCAATGACCTTGCCCATTTTCAACCGCTAGACCCCCCCCTACACTTCTAACCCCTTTTCATCACACCCTACCAATCCAACCCTCCAATTTTGACCCAAAAATCCCTCCATACACCCTTATCCAAAAAAAAGCACCTTCTCAACCTTCCACCTCTCCAACGCCTCAACCCCTACACCCTTCCAAAATCTCACCGAAAGACCCCTACCTCAAGAACAACCTTAACCCCAACCCCTACACCCTTCCAAAAAACACCCTCAAAAACTCCAACTCCCAAAACCGCAACCTTCTCACCCAAAAACTCCAACCCCTGAAACTGGGCAAGGTCATGCTTATAGAATTTAGGTTGTCCTACTCCCTAAAAAGACTATCCCACCCGTTCTCCCGAAATCCCCTAGGAAGGACAACCTAAACAGGCAAGACTAGGCTCATAAAACATTTGCAAATCTTGGACCAAGTTCAGATGCTAGACATGTCATGCCAAGACTGCACGGCAGATGAGGTTTGACATCAATGCGTTCTTCTTGCGAATAGTGTTGTAGCAGAGTTTCCCTCGGTTGAAAGCATCATGGCGTCGAGTGCTGAGCCTCCTGCCGAAAAACCACGGCTGGATGAGCAGTCCTATCAACGCAATGTCGAGAAGGCACAGGCAACATATGACACTGCGGTGCAACAGGTTGCAGCCGCCAAGACTGACCAAATGATTGCTTTCTGGACCAAAAGAGTGGAAGCAGCAGAACAGATTCTGTTGAACTTGACTTCGCAGAAGCCAGAGGCACAAGCATCAACAAAAAAGGGTTTAGGACTTCAGGGTTCTAGGTTTCCCCATCCCGCTTCTTTACAATAGTTGCCCCTCATTAGGTTTTATCGCGCTAGGTGTTTGTTCCTTGCTAGGGTCTTTGCTTTGGGTCGTTAGGTGGTTTCGCTGCTTTGGGGTGTAGGTCAGTCATTCTTTTGCCCAGGCAGTCGGCACCGACCTCGCCGAAAAGATGCAACAGTTCATCAAGGACGAGGTCAAGGGCATCAAGGACCAGGTCAAGGACGAGGTCAAGGGCATCAAGGACGAGGTCGGAAAGGTCTCGGAAACGGTGGACAAGTTTGTCATCGCACAATATGCCGCGAAAGCGGTTGGCTCAATGTCGCAGTCGGAATCACAACAATCCAAGTGGCAGACGGAAGTACACAACAGGTACGGCATGAACTCCGGCTGTGTCGTTTTGTCTTCTCTCTTTCCGGAAACTGCCAAGGAAACGTGGTATGGGGAGCATATCTTCAAGGCTGTGTGTGAGCACATCATTCCAAAGGATGACGAAAACTGTGCCAAGCTATGGAAGATTGGGACATGGGAGAACACCAATGGTCTTCCGTTGCTCAAACACTTGGAGGAAACCTTTCAGGCATTCCTTTGGACGTTTGATTTGAAAGCAGTAGGTAGCCAACCCCAAAGCATCACAGTGCAAATAAAGGTGAGCCAACAGCTCCGTGGACACGAAATAAGATACGAACCTCCGGAGGGGAGCGCCGTGCAGGCGCTGTGCAATGGTGTCTGGAAAAAGTTGACCTTCGGTGATTTGCGCGGCAGAGAAATCCAAATCTGCCCACCTCCATCGTTGCGCTCTCTTCTTGCCAACGCGCTTGGTGCCTACGACAAGTACCCCAATGAGTATT